AGAAAATGAGGGCTTGGGATAAAGGAATAGAGCTACCACTGCAACTGGATGAGGAAGGCAGAGGAGACACAATGTCACATTTTGAGAAAAGGTGCATGATGATTCTGCCACAAATTAGACCTCCTGACCTGTGAAAGCTTAAGTGACTTTGTGCACACATGAAACCACATGTAGCTCCATTTCTTTAGAATCACAGAATGGTTGAGTTGAAAAGGACTTTGGAGGGTCTCATCACAAAGCATCTTCCAGGCACAAAGGAGTGACAGAGCCAGCATTGGAGCCCCAACTCACTCACTCAGACATCAAAGCCCCTGGGTAGTGTGTATGTGTGTGTGTGTGTGTGTGTGTGTGTGTGTGAGAGAGAGAGAGAGAGAGTGAGAGAGAGAGAGAGAGAGAGAGCGACAGAGAGACAGAGAGACTGTGTGCATGCCCACTCATCCCACTCATCTACTGATCCTCTCAGGCTCCTTTACAAGCTTTATTAGCTGGCACTCATGACTCAGGAACTTAGTGACTAGAACAAACTCTACTCTGATTGAGCACTGATTTTTGACTTCATTGTCCTCACTGCCCTGTACTGGTTCTATCCTTGACCACCTGTCCAGCCTCACTGCTAGTCACAGAGCCTAGAAGACACCCTCTAGGAAGGTCAGAAAGGCCAAGGGCACAGAGAGATGGAGTGGAAGTGGAAAGAGGAAGCCAGAGAGTCAAGGCTGCAGAGACCACTCAGAGTCTTAGACACAGGTACACAGGAACACACACTACACACAACTCACACATTCATGTACTATACCACTATTCCACACACACCACTCACGCACATCATCAAACCACACAACCCATACACACAACACAATGCCACACAACATACACGCTACCACACATACACACACGTGACACAGACACACACATATTTACACAATACACATACACACAATATACACACACACACCACATGCATACACCACACAATGCTACATGTATAGAAAACATACATACCCAAAACCACACCACGGAGGACACGTAACACACAAAACACATCCCATACAAATCACACATACACACATAGCAATGCATGAACACACTTCACAACACTACACACAACACATAGACACATAACAAAACATACACCTCCAACACCACACATACTATATGCACAACAGCTGCTGCATATCACACACACTATGCATCACACACACATCCTTCACACCTCCACACACCTCATTCCCCCCACACATACATACTTCATATGCCATGACACAACACACAGGCATAGACACACAATACACACTATATACATATTATATGTACTTACCAAATATCATACATCAGGCGAGCATGCACTACCACACACACTAGCAGAGATTAAAGTCAAGGGGGCAGAGACCTAATTGCAATGACAGAGGTTGTAAGAGAGAGAAAACTAAGGGAAACTTTGAAAGATACAGAACAAGCAAAAAGAGAGACAAACCAGAAGAAAGAGATATATAGATAGATAGATAGATAGATAGATAGATGATAGATAAATAGATAGATAGATAGATAAATGATAGATGATAGACAGATGACAGATAGATAGACTTCTTTGCACTTAATTAGTGCTTCTCAGTAGAGGATGATTTTGCCACTTGGGAGACACTGGTAATATCTAAAGACTTTTTTTTTTTGTCACAACTGAGGGGAAGGAGAGATGCTGATAAGCATTTGGAGATGCCCATGTCAGGCTCAACAGAGAACTATTTGTGTCAGTATCAGCAGTGCCCAGGTCCATCAACTATGCCTGAAATGCAGAAGCCAGCATCCCAGGCTCCTGTACCCCAAACTAGGCTGTGTCCCAGTCACCCCTGCATAGGCACAGGAACAGGCACACATGTAGACTTTCATAGTCACCTTCAGCCCTTCTGGGTTTGGTTCTCAGAGGAGGACTGCCATGCTCTGGCTGCCTGCTGCCTGCTGAGGCCCCTCTGTTGCCTCTTGAGGCCTTCTCTCTGTTGCTTAGAGTTAGAGGTTCAGCCTTAGGCAGGAAGAACTGGATAGAACAGCCCCTCTTGTGCACTCAACCTGCTGTAGATCCTCAGCAACTCTGTCTCTCCCCAGCATCCTAACCCCTCCAGTTCTCCCCAGAGCTTGACCAGAAGCTCTCTTGCTTTTGGCAGATAGATGTCAGCCACTCCAAGCCACTGTACTCTCTGTGACAGATGAGACTATGGAGAAGACCAGTGTCACAAGTGTCAGTTTTGGAGTCTGGGCAAGGGACTAACAAATCTCACAAGCTAAGACAAGCTGTGATAGCCCTGCCATGAGGTCCAACCTCCCTCTTGCTCCCCTTGCACCAAGGCCTCCTCCATGTGGACACACCTTGCCTCTGGGTTGCAGAATAAATTCCAACCTTGTCTGTGAGAGGTGCTGATCAGAGTGGTGTGGGGACAGGGCCAGGCCATTCTCGGGGTCCTTCCTATCTCCTCAGAACCATCAGTCCAGGAGGCACAGGTGACATGCCTGTCAGAAGTGAGTGAACTGGAGTGGTGGGGGTGTTTTATCAGCTCTTGGGTACTGCCACCAGCCCAGAGCCTTCTTTCCCCCACTGTCTCTGGCACATGACAGATTTTGTCTGACAAGCCACCCCTCCACATTGTTTTGAGTCTAACTTCCATTCTTTCTGTGAGTGACCCATTCAAGGTAACACCAAGCGGAGGAAGCTAGGGTTGGGAAAGATTGTTGAAAAATAATTTCTTCCTCCTGACCTCTGCAGCCTCCCTTCCCAGCATGACATATTATCTCACTGCCCTGTCCCCTCCCCTATCAGAGACAAAAATGAGATCTTTTCCTGGAGCCGAAGAGGACAGAGAAGGTGGGGTGGCTCAGCAGGCAAACACAAGGGCACAAAGGTCCTGGGTTCAAGGTTTGGATTCTTGTACCTTCTCCCCACTCAACCTGAACACCCTGACCCCTGGGTGGGTGGGGAAGGCAGCTAATTGAACTGCACTGTTTACTCAGGGCTGTATAGCCTGCCCTTAGGCCCCACAACAGGAATGAAAGGCAAGTAGTTTTCCATTTGAAGGTGGGTCTTCTATACCCCAACCCTACACTAAGTACCTCCTTCTCCCCACACATGTGCTCATGCTGACCCCTCAGCCCATACAACACATACGACACTCACACACTACACAGCATATGTACATAACCAAACCCAGGCACTGGAAACAAACATCATACTCACACACACCATTAGTACACATATTCCAAACACAACACATACACAAGCACAGTGCATACTATATATCACACACCCTAAACATGCATGAGCAACATAAACACACAGCATATATAACACACTGCACACACCAAGTATACAGTGCACACACCACATATCACACAAGCACAAACACAACATCCCCCACATAACATATACATGCCACACAGGTCATACACACACATACATACACACATACACCAAACACATCATAGGAACATGATGTACACAAAACCTACAATACATCCCAAACACGCCACACATGTACATACATATCACATGCACACAACCATCGGCTACCTGTACCATATATACACACCACCGGCATACCACTTACCACACACACTCACAAACTACCCTCAGTGCATCTTACTGTTCTATGAATGACACACAGGAAAAGCAATCGGAAGCTAAAGAGTGACCCCATACACTGTAACTTCAAACACTCCACTGCCCACTTCAGCTGATCAGGTCTCTGGGTGGCAGTGGGACTTTGGGTAAGCCAGAGCCTCAGTTTCCCACAAGGAGAAGCTCAACCTGTGTTACCTGCAGTAAGCTCCTGCTGAGGTCCTGTGCTATAGGACAGCTGGCTGTGCTTCATTCAGAGTCTTCCCTGTGGCTGTGCAAGTCATCTTGCCTCTCTTGAACTCAGTTCACCTGTTAAAGTGGGCACAGTCAGGGGAGGCTTCAGAGTTGGGTAGGTTTGGACCTCCATTCCACCACTTCAGTGACCTTGTGTGACTTACTTTCCCACTTTGAACTTCGTTTTTTTCCATGGGACAAATGCAGATAATAATACCTGCCTCACAGGTTTGTTGCGACTTTATGTGGACACACTCAATTAAAGGGCCCAGCAACCATAACAGGTAGCCAATGTTGCCACTGCTGGAAGGTTGTTGGGTTAAATACACTGGGGCATATTTTAAAAAAAAAAATCTTCGTTGTTTATCTGAAATTCCAGCTTAATTCAGCATCCTGTGTCTTTGTTTGTTTTTTTGGACAAGGCTTTACTATGTAACCCAGACTGGCCTTGAACTCATGATCTTCTTGCCTCAGCCTCCTGAGGACTGAGATTACAGGTACCACAGTATCTGGTCTATCTTGTATCTTATTAATCAACCCACCTACCACATGTATGCAGTGTTGGGGAAGGGCTCCAGAGTTCCAGAGTTGTACCCTGACTGGTCAGCTTTGAATGGATTTTGTATTTTTAAGTGAGTGAAAAACCAAATAAGAATGTATTTCAGAGCTTGTACTGGACTTGCAAAGCCTAAAATATTTACATTTACTACCTACTTCACGGAAACAACTTTCTAAGCTAAAGTTGGTGAGAACCAAGAATCTTTGCTATTTATATAACTTTTCTAGGACAGGCAGGAAGAGAAGAAAACCTTAAGTCTCCAGGACATAACAAAGATGGAGGAAGGCAGAAACAGCAGCTGAAAAAGTGGGCTTCCTTGTGGGGCCCTTCAATCCTGAGAATGGCCTCTTCTAACTCCTCCCCTTCCTCCTCACTACCTTGAGTACCTCAGGTGAGCCTGACCTGTCCAGACCTCCCCTGAAAAGGTCATTAGGTGTCCCAAAGTCCAGGGGAAGCTCTCTAATCTTGAAGACCTCCTTTGCTGTGACTGGCCTGGGGGCAGGGGAAGAGTCCCAGGGAGAAGAAAGAGTTGCAGTTGATGCAAGGCCCCCTGGTAGGCAGGACTTGGGCCCTGTCTCTTTAAATCTCAGGTAATTTGGGAGGAGGGAGGGAGTGTCCATATAGCTCCTGCACACTCCCAACAGGAGCTCCGACAGACTAGCCTGGCAGATTCCCTGCTCTGCCAAGTGTAACAAACCCGGAGCCCTCTGCAGACGGCTGGGCAGCCACAGGGAGCCTCCCAGGGCCTCACAGGAGAAGTAGGAGACGGGACCTCTACAGGGAGAGGGCAGGCCGGCTCTTGGGGGCGCTGATGAGGCCCCAAGGCCGAGCCCAGTCGGGGTCTGGACTCAACCTCAGGCCCACAAGGAGCTGGCCCTCCACCCCATGGGGTGGTCGCTGCCTAAGGAGAAGGGGTTAATTCTCTGCTTATGGAACAAGTTCTGCAGATGGTTCCACAGACAGGATTCCTGGGCTCAGAGACGAGATGAGCAGAACTTACTGCAACAGAAGAGGTAAGCCTCACATCTACTCTGTATCTATCCCTCCCCAGTCCCAGGCTTGTACCCCATCCCCTCCCCTGTAGCCTCTGGTCTTCACTTGGCACCCTGGCTGAACAGATGGTGCTCCTAGGCCTGGACTGGCTACTTGGGAGGGGAGCACTTTGTCTCCAGTGTTGGCCTGTGGGGTTAGCTGCCCAGGATGCTAGGTGGGAGAGGATGGATGCCTGGGCACAGGTGTTTGTTATCTTTAAGATCCCCTTCAATTCTGCATGTCCCTTAGGAGTAACTCCCTGATGGCCAGGCACCTACTTAGACTGTGTAAGGATTGCGGTATTGCGCTCTCTTTATGCAAAATACACTGGCAGCTTGAGACAATGCCCTGTATATCTCTACTAGAGATATACTCTACTAGAACAGTCTCTTTGGAAGAGACACATAGTATATACATACGCATATGTGAGAGTCATGAGGGACTGATCACATGAATAAAGTAGAAAGGGGACTGCAGATAGTAATCACCAGAAAGTAATACAAAATGTGAAAACAGATGTCATTCTTGTGCGTTTGTCTCAATCAGACCTTGACCAAGGCCACACTATATTCCAGGCACTGAGACCAGCAAAGCTCAGATCTGATCCTGAGTCTTTCTCTTTACTGGGTGGGGTGGCTTGGATACCTGGCCAAAATATCAGAGGTGCTAAGGATAAGTGCTCACCCATGCTCCCATTCAGGTTGAATGATCTGAGAGGCTCTAGAGTGTGAGCCCTAAGGAAATCTTCCTTTTGGCTTTCAGCTCCTGAAAACTTCTAAAAACTCACTTGACGCATCCCTTGTGGTAGTCTGGAGTGGGAGTAGGAGAGGAGGAAATCCATGGGCTCTTGAAGCTATCCCATGTGTGGTCTATTCTGTAAGATTTCCCTACCCACCCAGTTGGTGGCATGTTATGATTTCTGGGGCTTTCCCTGGGGCCCTAAAAAGGCAGATAATATGTATATTCATGGAAGGAAGCCTAAAGTTTTTTTTTAGGGTTTCTCTCTATCTCTGAATGCAGGAACCTGACTTAGGCTGACCGGAAGACTGCCTGGGATTTCCTCTTCTTTTGCTCAAGTATTCTAGGCTGGCTAGGGATGTGCCCCTTCCTTGAGCTGTGGCTTTCCTGTTTCTCACACCAGCCACCCACCTCTCCCCCCAGGCCTGTGAGAGTGGGGGCCGTAGCACATGTTTGGCTGATGACATGTTGGGGCAACAGAATGGCATTGTTACTAGAGAATAACTAGTCATTGGTTCTACTCATCCTCTTCCCACTCTTAGGACCCTGGGGCTGGGGGTACCAGGCACAGAGTGCAGAAAAGCCTGGGGGTTCAAAAGGGGTAGGTGAGGTTTTCTGTGTGCTGCTGAGGGAAGGACAGCATGGAGGACTTGGGCAGGATCAGAGAGCCTGACTGAAAATAAACTGTTTTCATGCAAAGGGAAGACATACAGACAGCTAGATTAGCACAGGATGACCATGTAAATAAGAGCAATATGGACAGGTGAAGAGTGAACTAGTGAGAGACAGCAGTAAACAATGAACTGAGAACCCAACACTATATAGTTACCATCACTCAGTTTGTTTCATGTAATCCCATCCCTAGGCTGTGAAGGTTGGCCCTGTTCTCCCCACACGATTGAGGCAGGCTCAGCACACTAGAGGGAGTAAGTGATGAGTGAGAATGTGTGCCAAGGGGCACTCAGAGGGGAGATTTGTGGTGGGTCCAGGCGAGATTCTATGGAGTAGGGGATGGCTCAGTGAGAAGTGATGGCTTTAAGGTCTCTGCAGGACAGTTGGGAACTCAACCTCCCTCTCTATGACAGATTTTTTTCCTGGGCCTTGGACATGCAAACCACCCCCCCACCCCACGATGACTTAAATCCACATCAGTTGAACTCCTAACTTTCTCCCATTCCCTTCTGAGTACCTCTCCCTCTGGCTTGAATTTCCTCATTTCCTGAAATTCAATGCTTTAAGCATTTGGTGAGCATAAGACACTTCCCTAGGTTGGTAGGAAGTGAATATGGCTCATTCTCTATTGTCAAGGAGTTCATGTTCTGATGGGTAAAATGTAGTAGTATGTCCATATAGTGGACTGCATTTGCAGTTTCAAACAACCTCAGGGAGAAAATATTTTTTAAAAAGTTATGTTGTTGCAGACATATACTTCATGGTTAGGTTGTGTCTGTACTGAACATGTACAGCCTTTTTTGGCCATCATTATTCCTAAACAATGGAGTATAACAACTATTGACATAGCACTTAGTATTAGGTATTATAAGTCACCTAGAGATGATTTAAAGTAAACAAGAGGGCCAGGTGTGATAGCACACTCCTGTAATCCCAGCACCCAGGAGGCTGAAGAAGAAGCAGGATCAGGACTTTGAAGCCAGGCTGGCCCTGGCTGAAAAGAGACCCTGACTTGAAAAACTCTAAATAAGTAAACACTACAGGAAACCTGTGTAAATTATATGCAAGTATATGCCACTGTGTAAAAGGGACTTTTACACAGTAAAGGGACTATGAATGTTGGCATGTGTGGGGGTCCTGGAACCAAGCTCCCTCAGATACTTGAGGGATGACTGTACATGGGTTAAAGGTGAGCTTGGGGAAGGTCAAGAGAAGGGTAAAACAAGTGTTAAGGGAGCAGAGGAGGAAGCTGCCATATCTGATTTTGGCTGGTATGGGGTGTGATGGGAGCTTCATGGAGGCTGCCCAACCTGACTCCACACCCCTCCCATGCTGGCACTTTCTCTTCTCAGGTGGAAAGGCAATCATGCTGGAGGTTTTCATTTGGTTCTATACATACCTGAATGATTCTGTGTGAATTGAAGTATCTGTGCAAATGAAGCCCTGGGACTCCTCTGTACACTGTGCACTCTCGTCCTCAGTAAACACATAACACTCATGCACACATCTACTTATGTGCACAACAGGAGTTGCAGCAGTTAAAAAGATAACCCAGTTCCAGATCTCTAAGCAGCCACTTTCCCCAGAGTTTGGCTTCCTCATCCTATTGCCAGGAGCCTCAGCTGGAGGGAGGAGGCCCACAAGTGCCCAGTGTATGCCACCTGCCCACACATGACTACTTTTTCCCATCTGTGGTCACTGCTCCAGGCCTGCCTCCCACCTCCCAGGAAAAATCAGGAGGAGTCATAAAACTAGAAGAACCACATAATTTAGTGGTAAGTGCCTCAGGTTATGTTCTTGGCCAAGCACTTTGTCTTTTAACCCTGTGTGATCTTTTGGCAATAACTTGACCAGGCTGCCTCAGTTTCCTTTTCTGAAAAATGAGAGAATTTCTCAGCTTGTGTTACACAACCATAAAGAACAAAAGTGATGTTAACTGATATGTTGCTGTGGAATCTGAAAGTCACGTCTAACAAAAAGGCAACTCAATAATTTCAAACTGAGAATGTCCTCTTAACAAAACTGAATCCATTGAGATCATGTGCTTAAGACAGCCACAGGCTAGACCACTAGCAAACTCTACCGAAAGGGCACACTTACTGAAGAGGGTACTTGCAAAGAAATCAGTAGGACCCATGTGTGTCCTTCACAGTCCCCTCTGTGGTCTCTAAGCCCTTGTCCAAGTCTGATGAACGTAAAAGCAGGGACAGAGAAATGGCTAACAGGTCACTTGTTCCAGCTTAGCCTCTAACTTGCTTGGGCAAATCATTTCAGAGGTCTAGGCCTTTGTCTTCATCTGATACATGAACAGATTAGAATTCATTCATAGGGACTTTCTACCCTTGAACTTATGATTTGAACTTTCTTCAAGACTCTCAGTAGCCTGCATTGTTTCCCAAGCAAAACTTGTACCTGGTATACACAGATTTCCATACGCATGAGAACTGGGAGAAGCGGGTGGTGGGAGCAGGAGTATGGAGGAAGGAAGTCAAGGACTCTTACTTGGTAACCCAGAGGTGGCCCTGAGCAGAACATTGATTGATTTTCTTAACGAAAATATGCATTTGTTTTTGTGCCAAGAATCCCATAGTTGGGTTTCTACTAAACTAATATTGAACTAGGCTGTTCAGTTTTATAATGAATTGCCCAGTGAAATAAAACATCCTAGAACATGCACAAATACCATTCATATTGTTATAATTTTAGATTTGCTCTATAATTCATTCTTGCTGTTTTATCAGTGGGAGCTTAAAAGGCTTTCTTTACCTTTTTGTTTGTTCCTTAGTTCAGTATTAAATAATCTGTTAATAAACATTTTGTATGTAAAGGGAATTTCTAATTCTTTTTTTGTGTGAAGAATCCTTTTTCGTTAGTGGATGGTGAATAATTGCACCTCTAAATCAGGATTTCTCCACCTTGGCATGGTTGATACATTGGATGGGATAACCCTTTGTGGTTGTCTTGTGTGGGACGTTTAGCATTCTCTCCTGTATTCATTAGATGACAATAGCACACCCTGTTGCTCAGTTGTGATCTAACCTCCCATGACAGGCTGCTACTGGATAATCTACAAGATTCCTTGGTGCCCTTTGCCCTTCCTTTATGGAGCCCAAAGATAGTCAGGTGTTCTGGGGTCTGCATCCTTACTACCAAGAACTCTAGGGCTTCTCTGCTGTCCCCTTCTGGCCCCATTATATTATTGCAAGTAATGGCTCTGATACCACCTGAACTCATCTGCACTCTGTCATACCATTGCACCTCCTTCCATTTTAGTGAATTTTGGAGTTTGCAACTAGAGGAGGCTATTTCTCTACATACCTGCAGGGTTGGGTTATAAGCTGTTTCTTTACCTGGGGTATGGTCTGTCTAGGTTGCTAGATAAAATACAGGAGATCTAGTTCATTTTAAATTTCAGATAAACAATGGATAAATTATTTGTGTAAGCAAAATATTTCATGGGACATACATACATACATACATACATTAAAAAACTAGCTGTGCATCTAAACTTCAAATTAAATGAGCAGCTTATCTTTTTACTTGATAAATATGGCAACCCTAGCTCTTCCCCCAGGCTCCCTAGCATATCAATACAGGCAAGAAAAGGAATACATAGGAAATGGAAACTAGCTTTGCAAGCTTCAGAGATGCATAGGACCAAAGGGAACTGATCAAGTCCCTAGTGTAGAAGAAGAAACATACTAATTACAACACACAGTGCAAGATGCTGGAATAAAAATAAGGAAAGAGAAGAGAGTGAAAAAAGTTCTGGGGAAGGCATGTGTGTCACGTGATTATATGGTAGGGGACAGGAGGAAGCTTTTGTTTTTCTTCCATTCCAGTGCTTTGGCAAATGGTTGGAGTAGTGGTAGTGAAAGGAGTGTAGTAAACTTGTTTTGAAGCTGTGTTTGCATACCAAGCATACTGTTTTTCACTTAGATTGTATGTTTGCTTAAGGTTGACTGATGGAGATAACAAGGAAGGCAGGACAACCAAACCACCTTTTGGCACAGCTGCTGATGCACCCGTTCTCTAACTAGTGTTAGTGGAGTATCCACTGCATGGTAGGCATTTCCCTACAGTATCAGAACGCAAAGTAGGCAATGAACAATTGCTGGGCTGGAAGAGTGGATTCTAGGAAGAAGGAGCCCCATGGGCTGCACACACAGGGAGAACGGTGTGCTCTGTGGTGCTGAGGTGTGTGGTGTGAAGGAAATGCTGGGTGTAAAGAGTGAAGAGGAGGAGCAGGGGGTTGGAAAAATAGTTGCACAAAGTCTGTAAAGGATCTCTGTGTTCCTTCTCCTTGGGCATTGAAGCACCCAGTGGACTCTTGTAAGCTGTGATTGCATTTGCCATTTAGAAAAATTATTGAGGCAACTTCAGGAAATAGACTAGCAGTAGATAGGGTACAGGGAAACTAGTTAAGAGAAAATTTTGCTAATTTTGGTCTAGAGAATGAGGAAATAAATCAGTGAGCTGTAATATGAACATAAAGGAAGGGACTGATTGGAGACACAACTTTAAAGGTTGGACTGATAGGGCTTGAGGAGTGCCCTAGGCCTGTGGGGAGAGAGTGGAGCTATAATTGGGGAAGATGTTAAGTCCTTCTTTTCTAATCAGCGTCCCACCTCCAGTTTCAAAGCAGGTTTCTTGCCACTGCCAGCACTTCTGTCAATGTTTTTGGATGTTAAATAGGATTATTTTATTCACTCCTCTAGAAAGCTCTCAGCTCTAGGCTGAGAGGGACAATTAAATTAAAGAGATCCCTGGGTCTTATTTGGATTTTATAAGATAGTTTTAGTTCATTCTAGGACTAAGACTAGAGAGATGATCTGGAGAGACAATGAAGAAAATTTTGCTTAAAACAAGTGAAAACAGATAATAAGGAAAGACTAGAATAAAAAAAATTATGATTCCAAAATTGGGTTAGCCCAAGAATGATTAAACCAAAAGATGGGACCATTCAGATCCACATGAAAGTCGCTGAGTGAAATCTTAAATTGGATTCTCTAGTTCCTCTGCATCTATCATTTTGGCATCATCATTGTAGCATCTTCACAGGTAATAGTGGAAATAAAGTAGCACCTAAGACCTTATAGATAGCAGGTCTGAGAATGATGGAGAATTTTGCTTCCTAAGCTTTAATGTGTGCTGTTTAGAGACAGTGATTCCTGAGCTTGCCTTGCATTTATTACTTTATTTGTTTTCATGCAGGTACCACACTAAAAATAACTACTGGCTTGAGTAATGCTTCTCAAGTTTTAATATGCACAAAAATCAGTTGGGGGTTTTCTTAAACTTCAGACTGATTTTCCAGATCAAAGGGTAGGCTTCAGAACTGACATTTCTTATGTGCTCATAGAATGCTGATGATCTAGGGCCCATTTTGAGAATGAAGGCTATAGGGATTAAGATATGAAAAGAAAGAGAAAGAGAGAGAGCATATGAATGACCGACCACCTAGGAGGAAAGGAAGCCTGCAGCCAGGCTTTTTCCCAAGGGTCACTGTTGGTTTTGGATTGAGCCCTAAAGATGCTGTCATTGGGAGGAATTTTAATCAAAGGGCTCTGCTAAGATTGAGTAAGCAGAGCATCAAGCAACAGAAGGAAACCTGCTAGCATCTGCCTGCTGACTACCTCCACAAATATGAGAAAGAACTTTTATACCCCTAGTCCATGAAAAACAAGGCTTACCCTAGAGGGCAATCTTAGAGCACCTGTTAAAGACTACAACAAGACCACTCCAGAGGTAAGTGGGTCAGGAGGTGATACATGCTAAAAACTCCTCCCCTCATCACCTGATAAGCAATATTGCACACAATGAACATTCTGATCCCAGCACCAGGAGGATCGGAAACCAGTCACGACACTCTTCTAAACAGGCTAAATAGGCAAAATGTTGGTTGGGGTTAACCAACCAGTCAGAAAAAGAGCTAGGCTGACATTTGTGTGGCAATGAACCCACTTGCCCAGATCTGGAGCTGTAAGGTCCACTGCTGTGAGGCACATATGTCTAAGTGAAGTTAGCATGTGTTTAAAACTAGGCATAGTCACTATCACTTTCTTATCCCATTCCCTGGTAGGATCTGGGAGTCTCCTCTCCTTCTAGCAGCCAAAGAAAATGATGTCCAGGCTCTGAATAAGCTGCTCAAGTATCAGGGCTGTGAGGTACACCAGAGAGGTAAGGAGCAGAGCCCTAGCACTAGTATCTTGGTCAGTCCCCAGCACTAACTAAGAAGGCCTGACACGGGCCTTCTGAGGAGAGTACAGAACCTGGATTCTGTATTGTCCCGTGTCCCTGACCCATAGACGTCATATGACTTTTTTCTCTGAAAATGCTAGGAGCCATGGGGGAGACAGCACTGCACATAGCAGCCCTCTATGACAACCTGGAGGCCGCCATGATGCTGATGGAGGCTGCACCAGAGCTGGTCTTTGAGCCCATGACATCTGAGCTATATGAAGGTGAGGACCCAGGATGGAGAAAAACGGTAGTCTTGATATTTCCAGCAGTATCTGTGGTGGATAATTTGGAGAAACCAAAGAGGACATCTGAGAATCTCTACTCTTCATCTTTGTTACAGAAGTCTTTCTCCTTCCTTGTATATCTAGATTGTATATCACTAGAAAAACTGATCCTAGAAATAACAAAAGCCTAGAGAAGGGGTAGAAATGGGGAGGGGGTGCAGCTGGGTCTCCTGGGAACCCTGAATACTTAAATGTCTCCCTGTCTTCCATCCCAGATTGCCCTAGGGTAACAGAGCATGGGTACCAATGGGAAGGATCTCTATAGGGTCCTAAGAACAGACCTCTGACTCATGGTTCTCTCTGGGCTAGGTCAGACTGCACTGCACATTGCTATCATGAATCAAAATGTGAACCTGGTGCATGCCTTGCTTGCCCATGGGGCCAGTGTCTCTGCCAGAGCTACAGGATCTGCCTTCCACCTTAGCCCCCGCAACCTCATCTACTATGGTAAGAGCCAAGGCCAAGGTGGGAGTAAGGGGAGGTAGAAAGCTGGGCAGAGGCAAAAGAGGGCCTAGCCTTCAGCTTCATCTGTCAGGAAGTTGGGAGGGGAAGCCCTTATAGGACTTAAGGCCAGAGGCCAAATTCCTCCCATGACCCTCTGCATAATCCTTTCCTCCGGTTCTGCTGACTAGTGTCCCCAAACCCCAAGCTGAGATGTGGGAGGAGGAGACAGTCACCTGGGTGAGAATACTCCTCTCTTCTTATAATCCTGCCATGGACCCCTCTGTGTTGGCAGGGGAGCACCCTTTGTCCTTTGCAGCCTGTGTGGGCAGTGAGGAGATTGTGCGGCTGCTCATTGAGCATGGAGCTGACATCCGGGCCCAGGACTCCCTGGGTAAGAGCTGGGATGGGGAGAGGTCACACTGGATGTGACTGGGGTGTGAGGGGAGGAGCTGATTCAGGCCAACCCAGGGTGGGAGTGGGACCATGAAGAACTTTAGACCTGTGTCCACATGGCAGCCCCTGTCCTCCCCCAGGAAACACAGTGCTTCACATCCTCATCCTGCAACCCAACAAAACCTTTGCCTGCCAGATGTACAACCTACTGCTGTCCTATGATGGTGGGGACCATCTGCAGTCCCTGGAGCTTGTGCCCAATCACCAGGGACTCACTCCCTTCAAGCTGGCAGGCGTGGAGGGCAACACTGTGGTGAGGAGCCTTCTCTCCACCCAGGCCTAGAGTGTTTCTCTAATGCCCTTATCCTACCCTGTTGGGAGGAAATTGATATGAACACACATCTTCAACACTTAGGTCCCATTCTCAGCTCAGATTGGGATTTCTGTCATCTCCTGCCTCTGTTTCTTTTCTTGCTCACTTTCACTGAAGTGTTGGTGGCTTATGCAGTCTTCAGCCCAGGCTGTGATTTTTTTGTAATGCCTAGACCCACCTGTCCTACCTAGAGCAATGACCCCTCAGCTTCTCTTATCTTCCTTTCCAGGTTCTAGAGGGCATCATGGGGAGGGATGAACCATAAATCAGTGTGAACATTAAGTGAAGGCTGCCACCCTCTACTGAACTATGGTGTCCCCTGCACTGTGACTCCTGACCATTTCCACCTTCTCTCAGATGTTCCAACACCTGATGCAGAAGCGGAAGCACATCCAGTGGACGTATGGGCCACTGACCTCTACCCTCTATGATCTCACCGAGATTGACTCGTCGGGTGATGAACAATCCCTGTTGGAACTTATCATCACCACCAAGAAGCGGGAGGTATGGGGCCTTCACACAGGCCTGGGGAAGGGATTCCAGAGTCTTGGAGTTTCCTATTCTACTTTTTCTGTTGCAGGCTCGTCAGATCCTGGACCAGACACCGGTGAAGGAGCTGGTGAGCCTCAAGTGGAAGAGGTATGGGCGGCCCTACTTCTGCGTGCTGGGTGCCATCTACCTGCTGTACATCATCTGCTTTACTATGTGCTGTGTCTACCGTCCCCTCAAGTCCAGGACCACTAACCACACCAATCCCCGGGACAACACCCTCCTGCAGCAGAAGCTCCTTCAGGTGCTACACTAAGAAGGGCAGCTGGGCAGATTGCTCTGTGCTCTTTCTAAGTTTGGTCTCACTTTGCTATCCTCACACCCAAACCTCTGCTACATGGGCACAGACTAAAAGTGTATACACACAGAAACAAACATACTCTTGAAATGTAGGAACAGAGCTTGAGACTAGCCAGACCTAGTGGTTTAGAAGGAATCTGACAGCGTGGTGGTCCTAGGCACAAGGGCAGGCAGGGCAGAGGTATGGATCAGCTGAGTGTTTTGACCAGCATTTTTCTCGCAGGAGGCCTATGTGACTCCCAAGGATGACATCCGGCTGGTGGGGGAGCTGGTGACTATCATTGGGGCTATAATCATCCTGCTGGTAGAGGTAAGGTGTAGATGGGATCCAGAGTAAGGCTATCTGTCCCAGGGACCCAGCCTGAGTTCTGGCCTACAATGTCTTTGCCTTCCTGACTTTTATCCAGATTCCAGACATCTTCAGGTTGGGGGTCACTCGCTTTTTTGGACAGACGATCCTTGGGGGCCCATTCCATGTCATCATGTGAGTCTCCTCTCTTACTCTCAACTCTTCCTTCACTTGGGCTCCAGTTTCCCTCCCTGGATTCCTGACCTTCAAAGAACCTTAACTTAGAGCTCCCTCTCCTGTAATGCATGCGATCATTAGTCACTTAAATGTGCTAAGGTTGAGTCTGATTGTGTCCTACAGTCCCTACTCTTGCTGTCAGGTCCTCTGGATGCTCCCAGTCCTCCTCTCATCACTGGCTTCCTATTCTCTCTCCAGTATCACCTATGCCTTCTTGGTGCTGGTGACCATGGTGATGCGGCTCACCAATGCAGAGGGGGAGGTGGTACCCATGTCCTTGGCCCTGGTGCTGGGCTGGTGCAATGTCATGTATTTTGCCCGAGGATTCCAGATGCTGGGCCCCTTCACCATCATGATCCAGAAGGTCAGTGCCTTCTCTTATGCTTCCTAGAAAAAAGTCCCAGCCCAAGGCTAAGCAAACAGAAACACTTATGTAGAGGTACAGACAGTAAAGATTTGATGATTTGTGAGCCATATGTAGTCTTTTGTGTGTTTTCTTTCCTTCCTTCCTTCCTTTTTTTCCTCCCTCCCTCCCCTCCATTCCTTCCATTCTTAATTAAAATCGCTTAAAATTTTAAAAACCATTCTTACTTTAAGGGCTACAAGATAGGTCAAGTAGATTTGGCCTGCAGACCACACTTGGCAAACCCCTGCTTTGGGGCATGGAGACCTTAGGCTTCTCAGGATTAGATCTGCAAGCATTTAATGAGGCAACTACTCTGAATGTGTGATGTTCTGACTTCCCCTTCCTCTAGATGATTTTTGGTGATCTGATGCGATTCTGCTGGCTGATGGCTGTGGTAATCCTGGGCTTTGCTTCAGGTATATCATCCATCCAAGATAGGGGGCATGGAAAGGTGGGACTGAAGGAACTTACAGGGTGCAGAATGGCTGTGCTTAAACTTGGGGAAGAGTGGAGAGGCATAGTTCAGAGGAGGTGTGCAATATCTGGGGATGGGATATCCCCAGATTCAATATCCAGGGTGAGAGAAAATCAGGAGTGTCAGGGAGAGGTGGCACTTGGGATCAGAGGATGAGTTTTGTTGAAATTAAGGAAGTATAAGACAAAACATGGGGTGATGAGAGGCCGATAAGGTGATACTGGAGATGACAGGAGCAGGATGGGAACGGGCAACAAAGAGCTGGGCTTGGGCTAGTTATGATACAGTTGCCATGGTAACTCTCACCCCTTGGGTGGAGCAGCCTTTTATATCATCTTCCAGACAGAGGACCCTGATGAGCTGGGCCACTTCTACAACTACCCTATGGCTCTGTTCAGCACCTTTGAGCTGTTCCTCACCATCATCGATGGCCCTGCCAACTACGATGTGGATCTGCCCTTCATGTACTGCATCACCTATGCTGCTTTTGGCATCATTGCCACACTGCTCATGCTCAACCTCCTTATTGCCATGATGGGTGACACTCACTGGCGAGTGGCCCACGAACAGGATGAACTCTGGAGGGCCCAGGTGAGCCCCCTGGTGGCTGGGAGGGTCAGTGCAAGTATCCTGTTCCAGCCCAGAAACTGACTGTGCTCAGAAGCAAAATATTTTGACCCTCGGTATGTTTGGATACTACACAGTATGCAAAATAATGCTAAGTGTACATAAAATCTGAATTAACAGAACAAGTTAGCAATACTGGAATTTCTGGAAGGAATTCCTCATAATTGTCTCAACAATTAAAGCCTCTCAGTCTTTGCTAGAACAATAAGAAATAAAGCTGACGGTGTTTAAAACTTCATTTAGTAAATTTTGGACCCAAGTAAGACTGGACATCCCAAGTTTTCTTGATAATATTTATGTTTGCAAAGTCTGACCTAGAAAAATGGAAGTGTTAAAAATAATGTCATAAAATCTTCCAGTAGCAGCAGAAGCAGTCAGATCATCACAATGGGCTAAAAGACAATGAGATGAATCAAATCCTCTTTTTAAAAATGTACTTAGACAAGAGTTTATCTCAAAAATAATTTCAACCAAATAAAAATGGAAGTTCCAAATACTGGAAGGCATTTAACTGTGCTGTATGGTAAATGGACTATGACCTGTGCTGGTTAAATGGGGTTTGCATAGAGAAATATTTTCTCCATGCAAATATACTGATATAGATTTCCAAGTAGAACGTTTACATTTATAAATGGTCTTTATGCATGGTTAAAATCTTCTGAGGCTCATAAGATCCCTTTGTATTTGCTTTGCTCTTATCTTTGTCCTCCTTGGAACAAGGCCTCCCCTTCTTCCAAGAAGCAGCTCCTGTGTTGCATCTGTATCCTGCCTGGCTTTGTCATGGTCATCAAGTCACTGGGTGTATAATTGTGAGGTTCACGTCCTACAGAGATGTTCCACAAAGCTTACACCACCATCTTGGTTCAGAGGTGTTGCTGTCCACCTTTGGGAAGCCATGAGTTCCTTGCAGTCGCTAAACTGTCGTTCCTCTGCCTGGCCACCCCTCCTCCCCCTGCTCCTCAGTTGCATTCCTCAATCTGAGCTCAGTCTTCTCTTTGACACCCCTTCTGTCACCACTTTCAGGTAGTGGCCACCACAGTGATGCTGGAGCGGAAGCTGCCTCGCTGTCTGTGGCCTCGCTCTGGAATCTGTGGGCGCGAGTATGGACTGGGGGACCGCTGGTTCCTGCGGTAAGTGATGGTGCTGGGGTAGATGTTCCCTGAGCAACCATCTTTGCACATTCTCCCTTTGCTCAGACAATCTCCTGCTTCCAAGGGCCTTACCAAGGCCTGTGTGCTCCCTAGGCCCCAAGTCCATTGACTGAGTGCAGCTACTGAGGAAGGAGCCCCATTAGGATCATGGACCCCTAAGCATCCTCAGAGCTGGTGGATCAGAGCCTGCTGCTTCCTAAGGCCTGACTGCCAAGGGGCTGGTGTCCCCTGTGCCCATATCAGCTGCAGAGAAGGAAAAAGGCCAACACTGGTGGGGCTGGATGGCGGGGAGTTGGATAGGAGACCCCAGCATTGTTTTTGTGTTCTTTAATTCCTGGTGTCTCTCAAGTTGTTCTCCTGTACTCTACAGGGTGGAAGACAGGCAGGATCTCAACCGGCAGCGGATCCGGCGCTATGCACAGGTCTTCCAGCAGCAGGAGATCCTCTGCTCTGAGGACTTGGACAAAGACTCGGCTGGAAAACTGGAGCTGGGCTGCTCTTTTGGGCCCTATTTGTCCTTTCCTACGCCCTCAGTGTCTCGAAGTACCTCCCGCAGCAGCACCAATTGGGAAAGGCTTCGGCAAGGAACCTTATGGAAAGACCTGCGGGGGATGATCAACAGGGGCCTGGAAGATGATGAGGGCTGGGAGTACCAGGTCTGAGTGCTCACTCTTGCTGACAGCACCAAAACCAAACCAAACCAATTGAGAAAACCAACAAAAACCTACAGGTCTCATTTCCCAGATCCAAGGGGGAAAGGGATATAAAATGAATGCCAAGGAATGCATGTTGGGAATAACCATTCCAGGTCTCTTCAGCTTGGGACAAAGGGGAGTGGGGACTGTGGTCGTCACCTCACCCCAAACATTCCTCATTCTCTTGTGGAAGTCCCACTGCACATCAGAGCACTTTAAGGGCAGGCTTGCCTTCTCAGGTACCTGTCACACCCCAGTGTCATAAGTGGGAGGGCAGACAGTCCTTCCCAGGGTGCTCCAGACAGTTGATGGGGGAAGCACTGGGCTTGTGGACAGATGTGTGAGGGAGGGAGACAGGCACCATGCTAGGGGTTGGGAAACTGAGTCTTGCCAACCTCCAATAAAGTCATTTCCTCTTCCTTGCCCTGCTGCATTTCTGCCTTAATGCACTGAAACCTGTCCACCCTGCCCACAACTCTGTCCCTCCTCCAAAGCCTCCCTAGCCCCTCCTTGTAGACTGAAGCCTGGACACACCTGAACTTGCAATTTCCCTTCTTTCCCTTTAATGTTGGGGAGACTGGTTGTGGGGAGGGTGGAGGACTGGGGAATGTAGTGTCCACAGCATTGGGTTTAGTGTGGCAGATGTGGAGGGTGAGATGGAGTCTGGCTCACATCTCATGTGTCCCTGTGTCCAGGGCTGGGTCATGGTATCGTTGGCTTACAGCTTTTTGCCCACGCCTCACTCACACCTCCACTGAACCTGGCTGCCTCAGGTGCTGCTGAAGGAGCTGGATATTGTGCATCAGCTTCTTCTGGTGGCCAGCCAGGGTGATGCCCAGGGCTGGCAGGTCTCTGGTGGGAAGGGAATGGATCAGACTAGAATAAAACTTACAGAACTAAGATCCCAGACATTCCCCCTCACCTGATACCCAGAGCGTCCTCCCACCCTCCTCTCCCTGCTTACTCCAGGTTGAGCTGAGCCACATCGCTGAAGGTACAGAGGCCAAACTTGGAGAAGTTGTCCTGATAGCATTCCAGTCCAATGGCCAAAAGCCAGGCCTGGGGTGAGTCCAAGCAAGGAAAGTCCAGGGCCACAGGGTTCAGGAGGGCCTGGGAAGGTCTAAGGCAGGGAGGGGCAAGCAGGTCAAGGCCTCTTCATCTTAGCCTTCTTGCCTCAGTTCTCTTTTTGGTTTGCATCTACCCTCCCTGGCTTTCCCAGGCTCCAGCCCCAAGCTCCAGACCTGTCCCCAGGGCCCCCATCAGCTTGCAGGGTGTCTGGCTTTCGGATCATCTTGTCAAATGCAGCCACCAACTGGTCAAAGTGAGGCCGCCTTGCACGATCCTTCTGCCAAGTGTCCAGCATCAGCAAATGTAGTCCAGGAGGACAACCTGGAGGTGGAGGCAGCCGGAACTCCTGCTCTATTGCATTTAGTACCTGGGGGTCAGGAAGCATATGATAATGGGAAGCTATTGCCAGTAGAGAGGAGTGTAAAGAAAAGGAGATTGGCTAGAATCAGTACAGCATGAGGCTGGACTGGGGAAGGAACCCAAAAGTATGGAATTCAGCCATAAGATCTAGGAATATGAATAGATTAAGGAAGGGAGGGCTTAGAATATGGAAACTTGGGAGTGATGCAGAGAGGATAAGCAATGCGTAGGTCAAGTGCTTACCTCCTGGTCACTCATGTCCCAGTAGGGCCGTTCTCCATAGCTCATCACTTCCCACATAAGTATCCCAAAGCTCCAGACATCACTAGAGATGGTATGCTTTCCATGTGCAATGACCTCAGGGGCTGCCCAGCGAAGCAAACAACTTGAGCCCTGAGGGGTGGAGTCAGAAGCAGCAATAGTACTGATGATAGCAAAAGTCACATTACTGAAAAACTACTCAGTGCTTAGTTGAGTGTTAAGGTCTTCACGTCAAGCATCTCCTTTGATCCCCTGCAGTTGTGTAGGGAGCATGATATCAGGATGCAGAAGCTGAGGCATAAAGAGTATGAACTTGTGCAAGCTCACAGGGCTGGGGAATGGAGTGTTTAGAATTTGTACACAGTTGCGTACAAATCATCCATGGCCTGTTCATCCTCTACATTGGTGGGAGAGGGAAGGAACTGCTACTAGAGTTTTGCAATCCCTTTCTCTGTCTTGGTTGTGAAACCCCTCAGTCACCTCTTGCCCAGGGTTCTTTCTCCCCATCACCTGGGGAATATACCCATACACGGTGACATCCCACCTGAGGCATCCACCCCAGATTCCAGCTCACCCTCCAGTGCACCTGCTAAAGGATGCTAAGTCCCCTAGGCTCTGCACTCACCTGAGGACTGTGGCCAAGACGGGCCACCTTGCACACTAGGTGGCTATTCACCAGCACACTTCTGGCAGAGAGTGCACGGTGCACAAAGGCAAAGCTGGCAAGGTACTGCATGGCAGCAGCCACTCCCCGCTGCATAGCCACCAGCTGCAGGCTGCTGAACTGGCCCTCGCGCTGCTGAGGGGTGGGAAGTAGAGGTCAACAAGCAGTGAACTTTGACACACTGCACAGCAGTCACTGGTATGAGGGGCAGCTGGGAACAGGGGCATATTTGGGAATCAGAACATGGCCTTGGAAGGAAGAATAAAGCCCGTGATGAGAGGTAAAGTGGGGAGGAACAGAGCTACAAGGCCCTGGAAATGGTGGCACCCCAAGCTTTCCTGGACCCAAGGACCTTCCCTCCTTTACCCAAGCTGTACTGACCCTGAGGAAGCTGTCCAGGGGACCAAGATCCATGAGCTCTGTGAGCACCATGAGAGGCCGGCTCTTGGTGACCACCCCCTCTAGCCTCAGGATGTTGGGGTGCTGAAACTGGCCCAGCAGTGCAGCCCGGCCTAGGAAGGTCATCTGCAGGCTCTCAGCTCCCCCAGCCCAAAGGGCTTGGATGGCCACAGCCTGTTCCCGCCGTCCCCGGGGCTGCAGTCGGCCCCGGTGCACTTCTCCAAAGGAGCCTGGGAGAACAGGTGTAGACAGAGGTGGGGATCAAGGAAGGACGATGGGCTCAGTGTCACCCTGTGCTGAGAAGGCATGCTGGCCAAGGGAGGCCACAAGGGATCCCCAATCCCTTCCAAGCCTTCCTTGCTGCTGTAGTACCTGAGCCAATGACCTCCTCAATCTTGATGTATGCAGGGTCGACCTCCCGGGCAAGTTCTCGGATGGCCTGGCAGGGGTCCTCATATGTGGAGGGGTCAATGTAATACTTTACCCCAAGCCCTATTGGGTGGAGTATGCTGTAAGGGTGTGCTGCAAGGTTGGGTGCTCACTCACCCAGACATGCCCTCTTACTTCCAGAAGATGGTGTGGAGGAGACCCCTCAACTTTGCCAGGTAGGAACCCAGACCCAAAACCTCCAACTCTAGTCCCTTTCCCTCTCCCCCGCTTCCCACCTGGGCTGCTGTACTGCTGCAGTTGCTCTGTGTAGCCTGTCCCACGCCGTTTCCTGAGGGACAAACCAGCAACCTGGAATGAGGCCCCTGTTTCCACTCCTTTGCTCCTGCCCCTGACCACCCTGCTGGACAGGCTGCTCTCCAGTCACAGACATGAGGAGGGAGTGGAAACTACCAATCCTTTTTCCCCACCACTGCATGGATTCAAGGCAGGAGCTGGGTTCCTGGGAGAAGGGCCTGGGGGGGGGTGGGTGTTGAAGGGGATTCTGGGGCTGCCAGGACTTAGATGCTGCTGGGGCAGGTTGGGCAGGAGTGGCAGGGGCCTCACCGCTGGAAGATGACAGCCAGCACAGTGATGGCTGCCAGCAAGAGGAAGGCCAAGGCCCCCAGGATGGAGCCAATCACCAAGGACAGCTTCTCCGGAAGCTGGGAAGACAGCTCACCTGAGGGACCAGCACTGGGGTCACAGAGGAGCCAGGTCTCACACAAGATCATGTGCACACATCCCACTCTCTAGATATTCACACACTACATGTACACATTTCCTATACATACCCACGTGTGAACATACAACAGGCAGATATACTCTATAACCCTTACACAAATGCATACATACACCCTCTCAATCCTTTACACAAAACAACCTCTATATCCCTACACACATTCCTTCAACACACACACACACACACACACTCTCCAGCCTTCCCCACAGCCCCTAGATCAGGGATTAGCCACATCCTCCTCTCCCAGATTCTCAGGTTTGGAGGATGCTGGATCAAGGTCCATGGCATAGATAGCTCTGAGCCTCGCCCTGTCCATCTAATCTCCCTCTCACCTTGAGGCAGTGTCTGAAAATAGACTTTGCCCCCATAGGGACCGTGGCCAGCTGCTGTCCGAGCCCGCACCTGGAAGCCGTAGATGTGGCCAGGGCTCAGCCGTGTCACAGTGGCAGTGTTGGTCTCACTGGTCAAGGTGAAGGAATGGGATTCGTCTTCTGCCTAGGGGCAACACCCATTCACTTGCCACCAGCCTGGCCCCTCTAACCCCAGCTATTATCCCCGAAGTCCCCCACCCTCCTCATTTGGCAAGGTCCTTAGACATCTCCCTACTGCAGGCCTTCGTTACTTCCCATTTTCCCATCCAACCACCATCCCCAGTTGTAGGGTCTTGGAGCTCCCTCCAGCCCTGCCGCGACATCCCACACTTCCTGCCCACCTGGTCATAGTAGCGGAGCTGATAGTCCAGAATGTTCCCATTTGTCTGGTCGGGCTGTGGCCAGGACACTGTGATGCTATTGGCTGCCCGACTCACCTGGTGTACCACAGGGACTGCAGAGGGGACTGAATTGCAGGGTGGTGGGGTTACTGGGGGGATGGGAGTCTCTGGGAGCAGGTATTCCCTGGGGAAGGAGCTCAGACAATGGGTTCTAGGTTGGCTAGTTGGAGCAAAGGCATGGGGAAGAGGTTTCTGAGGAGTTGGGGCAAAGTGTACTTGAGGTGGAGAAGGGCTCACCTTCGTGACTGGTGCTGACATTGATGGCTGCAACTTGGGGAGGGTCAGGGCTGAGCTCAGACACTCCATTGACAGCCTGCACTTCCAAGATGTAAGGTATGTGTGCTCGGAGCCCCCCGACCAATACTCGACTTTCAGTCAGTCCCCTCTGGCGGGGGTCAAAATGCACCTCATCCCTGCAGCGACGACACATGCCCCCATTGCTGGGCTCCTGGTGACCTCCGCACTCCTTGCATACAACATTGAAAAGCAGGTCCCCTCGGCCCCCCAGCTCTTGTGGCAGGCGCCAGTGCAGCATGAGTGCCGAGCCTTGCACCTCGAACCAAAGCTCCCGGGGAGCTGATGGAGGGCCTAGTGGAACAGGACGATGTGTCAGTGACAGGGAAGAGAAAGTGAGAGCGGTGGGGTGGAGGTAATTGAGGAAGGAAGTCAGAGGGTTCAGTCAAAAGGACATGGAGGAGGTCCAGAAAGCAGAGGAAGGAAATGGGAGTAGAGAGAGAGGGAGGTGTGCAGCAAAGACGAGAAGGGAGAAAACCAAGGAAAGGGAGATAGAGAAGTCACTCCAAATGCAAAGTCCTATCTGCCACCCCCTCCCAGTATTGCAGTAGGCTCCCCACTTCTAGCCTCATTCCCAGGCTCTTTTCTGTGCTGGGCTGGGTGGGGACTCACCAGTGCAGGGGGCCTCAGGTGGGTCAGAACTGGCCCGGTAGAAGCCCTGGAGGCAAGGGCAAACAGGGGCAGCAGGGTCAGGGGCGTGGCTGCGGGCTGGGCATGGTGAGCAGGGGGCATTCCCAGCCAAGGACTTGTAGGACCCCACAGGGCAGGCTAAGGAGGCAGAGAGGAGAATGGGGGTGTCACACTCATCCTATCTGCCCACCCTGGGCCCCCAGTGCACCTGCACACTGGCATCCTCACAGCCTGTTTCCCAGAGCTGGTTATCCTTCTCTCCTGAAACCTATCCCCTACCCCACCCTTCCCTGGCACACAGATTTATTCTGTCAGTCATAGGGGCAGAATTACATTAATAATAAAGCTATGCTGGGAGCTGTAGGTGGGTAAGCCCCAGTGGTAGCTGTCCCAGACTTGGAGGCATAAGTTCCCTCAGCAGAGTCATTCTTCTCCTTAGCTGTATCCACTGCCACCTTCTACCTGTTTCCCAGTCACCTGACCCTGCTGTGGCCCCTCCCTAAAAAGAGTTGACCAAGGTAGCCCAAAAACTTAACAATTCTTGGTCACCATCACATAATGGGCTTGCAGCCCTAGGATCTTTAGAAATTCTGGTAAAACACCAGAAACTTCAGGTGAGTGGGTGTGAACCATTTTGCATGCTTTAGAAAATAAAATTGGGGAAAATGGGTCCTTTCTTAAGATAGCTTATTCCTGATCTTTAGGTGACAAAATGAAGTTTTTGTTCTTTAGGAGAGAAGTTCAAAGTCAGAGGTAGGTGAGAGGTGCTGGGAGTGGGAGGGGAGTGGTTCTCACCTTGGCAGGCTTTGTCTCCACGTGCAGGCTGGTGTCCAGGCTGGCAGCGACAGCTCCCAACGGCCACCATCCATTTTCCCTCCCCATTGCAGTGCAGCCTTGGGGGGCTGCCCCCTGCCTGGCCTCCCACTCCATCCTCCTCTGGTTCTGCATGAACCACACAGGTGCCCACAGCTGCCACCAGGGAGGCCCCCCCAGCCCCACTGGCCTGAGTCTCAGGAAAGGAGGCAAAGGCACGGAGCACAGTGGGGCAGGTGTAGGAGAAGAGCTTGACTGCTACAAGAGCCAAGCAGGCCCCAGTGTCCTGAAAGGCCACATAGAAACCACGCTGGGTAAGAGGGCCAAAGCTGCGCTCCTTGACATTCAGCTGTAGCCCGGCCCGCTGACCAGTCCTGTGGGGTCCTAAAGTCCATGCAGAGGAAGAAGCAGGGAAGCTCTCATCTGCTGCAATTGTGTCCACCTTGGTCCAGCGTTTGAGGTGCCAGGCTGAAATGCTGTCAGGGCTGTCAGGCTCCTCAGCCTGGCGGTAGTAAAGTGTGAAGGTCTCCCGGCAGGTGCCCCCGCTCACACTCAGGCTGGAGCATGCCCGCACAGAGAAGTGTAGTCGGATGTGTGCCCTCTGGGCCCCTCGCCGCTCCACAAAGTGTGTCTGCAGCCAATTGTCCTGTCCGGTGCCTGGAGGGGCCCCTGCAACATGGCATGCTTCGAAGGTCCGAGTCAGACGGCGCTGGTCATCTAAAACACTCACCTCGTCCCACTGCAGGGGGACCAGGAAAAGCATTATTTGCTCGGGGCTTGGGTAGGGAGGTGTGGGGACAATGAAAGAGATGTATCTGTTCCATTGAGACTTAAAATTATTGACAAGCAAAGCAGGGAGGGGATACCCTGAAATCCTCATCCATTGGGAGTCCATCACACACATTTTACCCTGGGTTTTCTTCCTGAATTACACTCTCTGGGAACAGGGAGGGGCAGGTCATAGGTTTAGAATAAAGAGTGGCACTTACCCCACCTGGTGGGTAGGTGAGCCAGCCAATCTCAGAGGTCTCTCCTGTGGTATCCAGTAACACTTCTGCGCAGAGATAAAGCGGGACGCAGTGCCAACCCTCCAGCTGGCACTGATAATCCCCACTCCATCCCAGTGGAAAACCAAAGAATGTCCTCCTCCCCCCAGCCCCCATTCAGGAACTCTCAGGATCCTGTCTTTTATATAGGTCCCAGGTCACCTTTCTCCTACCAATCCCTCTTTTGATATCTCTATTCTTTTTTGCCTTTGTAGAGTTTTTCCCATTTGCCACCCACACTGGTCTCCACTGGCAGATGGGGATTGGGATCCTAACCTTCCAGAGCCAGAACTGAGGGTCCTAGGACTAGGACCCATAGACTGCACACCATGCCTGCCACTCCACTCCCAGACTGGGCAGCCCCCTCAGTAGCCATGGGGCATCTTCTGGGCTTCTACCACGTCCCCTGCCACCATCCTGCTCCCAGGTGGGGCTGTAGCTTTTCCAGGTCCAAGGGTCTACAGCCAAGTTTGCTTCCTAGAGAGAAACATGGGATCAGAAGAAGCAAGAGGAGAAAATTGCATTTTCATATACAGCCCAGGTACCTACACCCAACAGTGCCATTTCCTACAGCTCTCAAACTGTCTGTCTTGAGTCTGTCGTGCAAATCAACGTTCTTCAGGCCCATGTGCCAAGCCCCTCAACCCTAATTCTTGTCTCAAGGCGTCTGTCTCGTGGCCTTCCTTAGAGGGGGAGCACAGGGTGGTGTTTTTTCTAGTTTTACTCTTTTCTTCTGGAAGGAGTTATTCTAGTTCTTTCTCTTCATTTACTTTCCTCCTTTGCTCCAACAGCTACCCTGCATGGAAATTGATTCTTTTTATTAAACATAGGTGGGTAAGGAGCTTCTCTGTCCTCATGGACAGCACAAATTCTCTGCCTACCCCTGCAATACTGCCTTGCATACTCTAGACATTTTAGAGAAGCAGTGAAGCGAGAGGGACATAGAAAGATGGCTGTGGGGTATAAAGGGAGGGAAGGTAGAAGAACAGATGTAAAAAGAGCACAGGCATAAAGATTCTGAAAGATAAATGAGGTTGTGTAAGGAAAGGATAGCTATGTAGGTCTGGCACACACTCTGAACAAAGGTTTTCTTCCCAAGGGGCACAGTTTTTTTTCCCCCTGTGACTTACAGAAAAATAAGCGTATGAAAAGATGCCTCTTGTTTGCTCACATTTAAAGAAGAAATATTAAAACCACAGTGACATGCCATTTGTTATAGACTGGGTGTTTGTGCTCCTGCCACTTACTCATATGTTGAAATCCTAGCCCCCAGTGTGATGGTATTAGGAGGTGGGGGCCTTTGGGAGGTGATTAGGTCATGAGGATTTACATAAATGAGATGAACACTCATAAAAGACCTTACAGGGCTTTCCAGCTCTTTTCACCTTGTGAGGTCACAAGGTACAGAGAACAGAAATAAATTTCTATCATTTAAAAATCACTCAATCTATAGCGTGTTGTTATTGCAGTCCAGACTGACTAAGACATCATTGTTACCTGTGAGATTGATAACAACCACGCTGGAGCAAGCATGGGTAACAGGGACTCTTCTATTTACTGTGCTTATGAGTACGAATTAGAATACTGGTGTGTGGAGAACAACATGTATATCTAGTGGCTTCATTTCCAAGAATTCCTTCAGGCACTGTGCGTTTGTACTGTATTTGTTTGAACAAAGATATTCATGTGAATTGTTTATAGGGGAAAAGACTGTAAACTAACTGCCTATGAATAAGAAGATGGTTAAGAAATTACGGCACATCCGCAACAAGGAATATGGGCTGTTTATATACTGATATGAAAATGATTTCCAAGTGAAAGCAGAATGTGCAGAACAGCGGAAAGTAAGCTCCCATTTGCTGACTTAAGAAGAACAAACATATACATATGCATGGAAAAATATTTACAGAGGGGTATGTGAAACTTGCGAAGAGGACTGGAGGCTAAGAAGATTTATTTTCACTGTATTCTTTTTAATTTTTACCTAAAATTTTGTATATGTATTATCTTTTTACCTAAGTCATTAAAATTTCCTGTAAAACTGCAGATAATAACTGTTTACTAAAATAAATAAAAATACTGTTTATGTGCTCAGAGTGATTTCTCTGGACTATGCAATTAGCCAACCTTTACAGAAAACTGCCTGAGCCATTAGAAGGCATAGGACGAGGCCAGCAAGCTCACAGAGACACAGCTACGCGGCTACCTCAAGGGCCACGGTGAAGACCAGCAGACTTGGAATCTTCTCTGCTTGTTGATCTAGAGATTGGCGGTACTCTGTCTCTCTCTGCCTCTGTCTCCAAAGTTTGTCTGTTGCATGAACAAGAACAGTAGAATCCATTTATTTCTGTTGAGAAAAATGAGAGGCATGCAGCTCACATTGCTCAAGACAGGACTAAAAGATAAGGAAAAAAAGTGCCAACTGGAAGGGAAGGGGAGATGCAACATGGATATGTGTGACCTTGTGATCCACAGTGAGAGAAGATTACACTGAAATCAAACCACGAAACAATACTTAACTGTGGTCCATATGAAGGTCTTAATTCCTGCTCATCTGATTTTTTTTTCTGAGAATGTTGGCTGTCATAAATGAGACCTTCAGGAGGTATGAGGATAGGTAAAACACCCAAAAAACTAGATAGCATTTGTTGCCCTCCATGCAGAGAAACTAAAGCAGATACTTTAAAGCAACTGAGGCCAATAGGAGAAGGGGACCAGGAACTAGAGAAAAGGTGAGATCAAAAAGAATTAACCTAGAAGGTAACACACACGCACAGGAAAGCAATGCGAGTCAACTCCCTGTACAGCTATCCTTATCTCAACCAGCAAAAAACCCTTGTTCCTTCTTATTATTGCTTATACTCTCTCTTCAACAAAATTAGAAATAAGGGCAAAATAGTTTCTACCGGGTAGTGAGGGAGTAGGGGGGGAGAGGGAGGGGGCCGGGAGGGAAGGGAGGGGGTGGGGAAATGGGGGAGAAATGACCCAAACACTGTAAAAAAAAACAAAAAAAAGATGAGACCTTCAGTGTTATCCCCATGAAGCTACCCCAGGGAGATGCCTTTTCTACATATCTATGGGCTGATGTGTATTGGGTATCTGCCAACTAGTCACCAAAACTTACCTCTCATGCCTTTAACACCCTATGTGTGAAAAAGTTCAATCCACAACCTATGGAGGCAATAAGAAACAATTCCATACAGTAAATGGTTTCTAAGAAACAGAGGTTCTCTGCAAATGCTGTCCTAAATGCAGCTAGGATCATTCACAGATTAAATGCTCCAGAATAGAACGGGAAGATCACGAAATAAAGAGCATACTTCTGCAGTGCTGACTCCATCACCAACAGCTGTTTAATAACACATCCTGAAGCGATTCATGTTGTAGGTGCACCCCCTCAACCCCCCCCCCAATCTCAGTGCCTGAATGGAGACATTGTTGACACACCAAAGCAAACCAGATTCTGTCTAGAGCCATCAAAGTCTTCAGGAACACTGTTATCAAGAACAGAAAATGCCAGAGGCAAGCTTTTAAACAATGGGCTATTTTACTATTTGCCCAGAAGATATTCTTTAAAATAGCCTCTTTCAGCCAGAACATGAATGTGTTTTGTAATCTATATAAAGAAGAAACAAAAAGCACCCTGCCTTCCTAAACTTACAACTAGATAATCATGGAGTAGGAATCATAAATATTTTGGTAGCATCTTAATGAATTTCTTTTTGTTTGAAAGAGAGCAAAATAAGATAGAAAAAGATACACCACAGATAATATCTGTTGTACAACTGGAACATTTTAGAAGATAAAGATGGACGAGATATTTGCTTTGATGACCCGCAATACAAGTATTTTGTGGCTGCAATAAGGCATGCTGGCATAGCCTTATCATGCATTTTAATGAAAACATGAAGCTGGCTCTCTCCAGAAGATCCAGAAAAGAGCAAAAGCAATTATGAAATATGTTAAAGCCACCCAGCTTCTGTCATCAAGAATCAAAAAGAAAAGAATAAAATGGATACATTGCATGTAGATTGCTACTTGAGTAATATTTTGGAATTCTACTAAGAACAAATTTTGATGTTTGATGATAATCTCTTTCAGATTTAGACCCAGAATATTGAAGGTTAAAAACAAGTGTCTTCAGAAAAAAAAAAAATATTGCTGAGTCAGAGTAGGAAGTTAGGTCAGTTCTTGTTTATCTAACTAACCAAATCTTTTATTTTTAATACAGGAAAATAATCTGAGTATATTGCTACTGCAAGAATAAAAATAAGAGGAAACCTTAAGATATGGAATAAATTGCTGTCAATTAATTCCTACCATTATGGATTCTTTTTAAAGCAAGTTTCAAAGGTAAAAAACAAGTGACAAGAACACGGGTTACTCTAATGCCTGGAATACTGAACAGGCCAGGACTTAGAACCTGACTTTCAACGGTGGCTTCCTTGGTTGTGACATGAAACATTTTCTGTATTTGGTCTAGGAGAGCATCCTGGGCACAGCCAAGTAAATCACTTGACCACATGGGAGAAGAAGCCTCTGCAAGACCAGGGACTTTGCTCCTCTTCTTCCTCCTACCCTGCCTGAGATTCTTCTACCTACTGCAGTTCATGAGAGGAAACTGCCTGGGGTTTAGAAATCCTCTAACAGGAGAAAGTGTGGAAAACGAATCTCAATCAGGAAAACATTCATATTGCAAGCGTGTTCAAGATTTTAAAAATATAAAACATCCGAAGCAGCAGAAATGTGGCTGCAAAGTGATAGCTCAGAAAATGAGCCTGATTAGACAAAGTTTCATGTGACAAAAATGGCATTTTATGACTTTGTATTTTTTTCTTAGTTTCTTTTTTGGCTATAACACTTTCTTTTTGATATAATGGAGACAGGAGATACACAAGCCTGCCACATTTCTTTGATTTACAGACATAAGGCAGGGGGGGGCATCAAGGTTATATGTTGCTTCCAGAAACTGACAAAAATTAGAGATTTGTAGAATTATAGCTTATGAAGTCTGTTCTCTATGAAAAAGGAAAGATTTAAAAGCAAGTTAAATTATTGAATCTGTAAGAGCTTTAAAAATAAACTGTGCTTAAGTTAAATGCTAACTATGATACTTTTATGAACAAATCCAGCCTATTTGATAGAGTTTATGAATCTCAATCTACAAAATAAATTTTTAAAAAATTAAACAATGTAAGCCAAATTGGCTTGGAACAAGTATGTCGGAAATGTATTGGATCATTAAAATTGGTTACCGTAGGAGGTAGAGATGGAGGATGGTAGTGGAGATAATTTGTCTTACACATATCTGATTTTTTTTAAATGAAAAGCATATCTTGTTTTTATAGTTAAAATCTAAACGAGGAAAGGGAAATGTTTTTAAAGCCTAGACAAATACAGCATATGTTTACATCTAATTCCCTTTTCCTTTTACCTTCTAGGTTTCAAAATATCTAGGAATCTTCAACTATGAGAAGAAAATACAGAGAAAGAGATAGTGGAAGCTCAGAGTGAGTGAGCAAAAGCATGTCAACCACAAAGGCAAAAAAACTTATTCCTGGATGTTCTTTAAGCTTCTTTCCCAAGAAGTTCAAATCGTCATCCTACTTGTCTGCCACAATGTCAAGCTAAGGACTGGGACTACAAGGGGGACAGAGGGTATCATTGGCAACAAAAGTGGCCCATACAGGAACAATTTTGTGAGGCAAGGCCGGCTGCTGTCCAGCTGGGAGAAGGAGCATTGCTAGGACAAAAAGTCCAGCGGTTTTAGGTCTGGGGTGTTGCTGGGTCAGTTCTCACACCTATTAACTGCAGGGTGAACGTGGGAGGGGTCAGCACCCTGGCCCTGTCCTCTGTCCTGTTTTGCAGCTGTTCAACACCCAGGAAATTCCAGCATAATCCTTGCTCAGTTTACTGCTGCAGCCTCTACTCTTTAATCTGCACCCTGGAGATCCTCTTGGTAGCTCTTTCCGTGCTCTGGCCTTCTGCCTTGAAAAGGATCCCATCAGGCTTTAAGGCGCAGCCAACACAGACAGGGAGGAGGTGGCTGTCCTCTGGCTCTTGATCCCTGCTGCCCAGCCTGGAGAAGCCAATTTGTGTATTACTTAGCTGAGGACAGTCCTGTGTCCCTTGAGGCCTCCCAGGCTCCGAGAACATTGCTCAAAGCACTCCGCCTTAGACACATGTGCCTCCCACTGCCAGGCTGTGCAGCCGGGGGAGGCTTTTAAGATGCAGGCAGTGTCTTGGTCTAGCCAGACGGCCACAGAGAATGAGCCACTCCGACTGTGTACTGAATGGTGACATGCATGGCTCTGAGAGAGAGCGGGTAAGGGAGGGTTCTGGGCAAGTGGTAGGTGTGCACAAGGGATGAGCAGTGAAAGGTGGTGGGAGAAAGCTATCGGTGCAGAACCTGTGTCAGTGGATGCATTGAGTACATATCTACCTAGCAGAGAGTGTAAGGGAATGGGAACGAGGTGAGGTGGATGATAGCAGTGTGTTGGAAGGTGTGTTTGTGTGTGACAGAGCATGTCATTTGGGACTGGTATTGCAGGGGTCCTGTAAACTCCTGTTCCTTGACATGGTCTGAGTTGATCTCCCTGTAGATGCTTCTGCAGGAACACCCCAGCTGAGAGAGGGAGCCAAACAGGGAGTGGAGAAAGAGAAACCAAGGCTCCCAACTTCTCCAGACACGACCACTCCCCTTCCATCTGGAGTGGGGAATAGGTCATGGCTCAGGACCCAGGTCCAGGAAATGGTGAGGAGCTGGGAGAGCTACTGTCTCAGAGGAGGATTCTGCCTCTCCCAGGCTCAGCCATCATGGTGTGTTGCTCCCAGCATTCTGGAAACTCCATGGTCATTGCCAGCCATCTTCCTGAACCCTGAATGGACCAAAAGGCTCCAAAGGAGTCCTCTTTCCTAGGTCACTAGGTAGGTAGTACATCCCAATCTTCCTTCAAGAAAAAAAAAAGGTCCATTGCCCTGAAAGGTCCACTGATGTACCGAGCGGGACTGAATCCCCCAAATTTCCTGGGCAGCAGGAGGAAGAGTCCCTGAACTATGAACAGTTCCACCACTCCCTCCCACTGGTCTCTCAGCTCAGAACCATCATCTCCCCTTGCGAAGCCTGAGTCAAGCTCCCCTGGAGGGTGAAGGGCCAGGGTTAACCGATTGGGAACAGGCCTGGCAGCTCTTCTCCATGGACACTGCCAGGGACATTACAACATCAGCTATGCTGGGTCCATGCCAGCTCCCCCAGGGATGGGAGGAGAGAGGGTGCCAGACAGCCAAGATCAGTGGGCAGGGGTGGGGGCAGGCAGGCCTTAGCACCCAGATGCAAAGAGGGGGTGGAGACAGGGACAGGAGCAGGCAGGAGATTTGGTTGCAACTTGGGGATGATGACTGGGAAGCAGGAGCCAAGCCTACACCTCCAGGGCTTAAATATGCTGGGGTGGAGGACGGGGTGTGTGGGGGGGAAGACAGACAGGGGATGTTGTGATGAGTGGGCTCAGGTATGGATAAGCCCCCTGCCTCCCAGCTACCAGGGGATTGGAGAGATGTCACTGGAGTTAGAGGAATGGACAATGATTTTCAGAATGCTGACGGCCTGACCTCTGTGAGGAACCTCCATTCCCAGGTCAGGACCCCCAAGCAAGAGCCAGAGGAAGTCTCTGGAAACGTGGTGGAGGGAATTCTAGCAGCAAGGGTAGTGGGGCATCAATGAGGGGTGCTGCTGCTGGTGTTGATAGTGGTGGTGGTGGGGAATTCATCACCCCTCAGTAACCCAGTTCTCACCTTGGGGAGGAATACTCAACACTCCTCCAGAAGGCCCCCCGGGGTGTGCACAGGCCCTGGCTGGAGGGACCCTTTACTTTGCAAACCTCAACCCCTCTGTCCCCAGGCACACTATTCCCTGAACCCCAGTGTCATTAGCGATCCTCAGGCTCACCTACCTGCCGGCCTCAAGCTCCGTAGGTCTGCTCCCCTGAGGCCCCACGGTGGACCTGCGGCTCTGAGATCTTTCCCGGCTTAGTACGCCTCCTCTCCGGTCCAGGGACCGGTTTCCTCCACGGCCCAGGTACACTCGGCTCCCGTAGTCTCTGGGATTCCGGGGCGGACAGGGAGCTGGTGGCAAGGGCTGCTCGGGAGGGTGATCTCGGGGGACCGTGCAGGGCCAGTGTCGCGATCGCCGTCACCAAGCTCGGTCGCGGGTCCCGCCGCCCGCTGCTTTGGAGCGGTGGCTGGAGCAAGCGCAGCCGGGTCCGCCCCCTCTGCGTCCCTCCCAGCCTGGCCCGCCCCTCTCTGGTCCCTTGGGTAGCCCTCCCTCTCCCCTCTTCCGGGAGCCAAGCCCGCCCTCCTGGCCTAGGCGGCGAGTGTGCGGCGCCCGCTTCTCCGCCCCGCGCGCGGGGGAAACGCGGGGCGCGCCCTGGGCCCGCCGATGCTCTTGGGGAGGGGCGGCCTCCTCCCGCGGGTCCTGGCGGGGCGGGAGGGACGTGGGCCCAAGGATGGCACGCGTGAGGGACCTGAAGGAGGCGGTTAGCCAGAGCGGCTGCGAGGTGTATTTAAAAACCCTCGGGGTCCGGCATCCGCCGAGCCAAGCGCAACTGGCGGCCAGCTGATGCCTAGGGCAGCGCGGAAGCCCAAACACAGCCCCCCTCGCGCCTCCTCTCCGCTTCGGTTTTAACTCCAGGAACTAAAACAGTGGGGCTCCGACTCAGGCTTGAACTAAGGTGGGCGTGAGCTGAGGAAAAGAAGAAAAGAAGGGGGTGGAGTGAAAGCCAAACAGAAATCTCAGGGGTACCGGCGGCGGTGCGGGGAGGGTAGGCAGCCAGAAAGAGGGGGCGTCTAGGGAGGAGAGCGTCCCTGCTCTGTCTTCAAACTCTTCTCGCTTTTCGTGTCTGGATCTGGGTCAGCATTGGGGCTTCCAACTCGAGCCTCCCTCCCTCCACCCTCCGAGGGGCAGGGAAGCCTGGGGCTGAAAAGGGGAAGTCCTGGTGTAGGTGCCTGGCTTAGACGCGGCTCGGGCAAGTCGCTGCACCTCTGGGTGCCTCCTCCCTTGCCCGCGCTCCACAGAGAACCTCCCCCTAGTGTGAGAGGCGGGTGAAGGTGCTCTCAGGTGGTGCCTGAAGGCCGGGTTGGGGAATGGAGGGGGCGCCACCAGGAAAAATGTTTCCGCCCACTCCTAACCAATTCTTAAACCGAAGACTGGATTTGGGGGTCTATTGTTTAGGTCGGACGGACCTAGGCTATGGCATTCCCACGAAATGTTGCTACCACCTGCCGGTTCTTTTAGGGAATACAGGCACTAGGTGGAATTCCCTCTGACCCTTTATTCCTCCCCATATCACCCTATCTATCCCTTCTTATTCTTCTTTCACTTATTTAAAGATATGCTTATGAAAGCACTAGCTGCAAGCAAGCTGATCACGACTGGTACTTAAAGAGCATCCAGAAACCAATGAAAATTGTGAAAGAGATCTATGAGCCAACAGGCAGAAGAAACAAAACAATGAAACTCATTGAGGCACCTGGGAGAGATAAACAGGCTTTAATGAACTGGCTGAATGAGTGATAGAAAAATAAAGGCAAGTGAACGAGTCTCCACTTGGCCAGGGGGTTGTTGCCTCTTAGAGTCGGGAGTCAGTTAATAAGCCTGATGGACTGTAATGATTCTGCATTTGTACCTCATTAATAACTCCAATTGCACTGGTATGTCTAACTGTGTCTTATTTTTTCCATTCTGTCTGAAGCTCCGTGGAAAAGCACGTCTTCATTTTCTAGTCAGCTCTTTCCAAAGCCCTCAAAGAGTTTGCGAAAAAAATTTTTAACTTTACTTGTATCCAGTATTACATAACTAGGGATTTTATGTATTTATATCTGTATGCAATCCATATTTATCTATCTAATTTGGTGCTGAGGATTGAACCCAAGGCGGGCACATGTTAAGCAGGCATGTGTAGCCCCTTCTACATATATTAACAATATTCCTGATTGCTAAAAATATATGAGTATCTTGGAAACTTTAAAAAGTAATAAAGTGCGTAATTAAATTATGTTGAACTAGAAGAATCTATGAAACCAAAACATAAATATTTATTTATAAACACCACAAATTCCAGTAGAAATTTTCAAGATGTCATATATTGATACTACAGTAAAACAAACAAAAAATACCTATATTCCTTTCTATTGTATGGCATGTCTCATATTAGGTGCCTATAATATGAAACTAAATTTTTTTCTATCTAAGGCTTATATGGGTTATTTTTCTCTTGTTAATAAAATTTGAGAGGTATCTACTTTCAAAGAAAATATCATTGTACTCGGGATGCAAAGAAGTTTAAATTTGTGATTACAATTGGCCTTGCATCCTAGTCTATGTGTTTTCAAACCACGTTTTTATGGTGGGTGGGAAGTACAGAATGCACCTGTTAAATTATGCTGCAATTTGCAGCTCTGAAAAAGCAAAGTAATGAATTCCTTTTTAAAGTTGTGCATAAATCTTTGCTGTAATTTGCTCAGTGCCTGGCACATACTAGGTGCTTAAAAAATTAATAAAAATAATAGTGGTTGAACTTTTTTGGTGCCGAAAAGCAGGACTTAATAAAGTTTGTGCCTGAAGAATTCATTATTTCCAGCACACACAATGTATAATGTAAATATGGAGCCATATTCCAGGTGGGATCAGATGGCTTATTGATTGTTTCTGCCTCTTTTTTTGCCTCTTTCTTGGGCTTTTCTGTCTTCAATATCTATCAGTCCTGGAGGATATGTAATTTTCTACTTCCTTATTTCCCCTTAGGACAGCTGAAGCAAGTTGATGTTATTATAAACAAACAGCTTTGCAAGTAATTTCAGTAATAAGAAATCGAGCAAAAAGCAATAAAAAATTTCCTAAGCTTCCAGATTTCTTATTTCAAAACAGAGGTTATAGCTCCCAATGCATGGCCTTACACAGCCCACACCCTTTATTTAACTGTCTTAGGGAGCTGGGGCCCCTAGGAGCAAGTCTCAGTTCCTCAAAGCTGCAGTCTGATCCTCCCAAACATTTTCCCAATTAAAGTGCCAAGTACCCATTTATACCAAAAAAAAAAAAGTTCCTGTTCTGAAACTCCAAGAGCAGGTCTCCTATGGTACAGGTTTGTTTGAAAGACAACCTAGAATTGCAACTGATTTGTAGACTGATGGTGATTGATACATTTACCCAGCATAGTTTACACCGTGATATTACTTTACCCAAATAATATAAAAAAGTATTCAGAGGTTTTCATGCTCAGAGAGAAGGGGGACGGCTCTCCTCTCATAATTGAATGTTAGCACAGTTAAGGGTTGACTTCAGCTGCATATACCAGAAAAGTAGTCTACTAGCAGTTTAAACAAGTTAAATAACCCCTGAATGCTACAAAGGCTCCAGGTCAACAAGACTCATCTTTATGGTGAAACCTTGCTCTCAGGTGCTCAACATGTTATACAGAGTTGCAGTTATAATAGTTACTAATTTCAGACAAGAAAAAGAAGGAAACTGGATTAAAGAGATGCAACAGTGTTGACTGAGTCAAGTCAACACTGTTCAACGAACTTTTCCAGAAGCTCTACCCAGTGACTCCTCCTAATATATTATTAGCTAGGACTACATCACAAGGCCACCACAATCTTTAAGAAACTGGGATATCTATGCTGCACCAAATAAAATTCATTATAACTTGGCTAGTAAGAGAAGAGGAAAGAGAGAATATTGGATGGGCACCCAGCAGCCTCTGCCACAAAAGAGAGAAAATGATCAGTTATCCTCATCTCTCACAACCAAGAAACTTTTTGAAGCACATCTTTGCTGATATTTTCCCCCCAAACCATCATCTTTAATATATAATTTGATTCTCTGGAAGTTAGTAGAGTGTATGGAAATGCTAGGAGTCTCACTAAAATAAATATGTCACCATCTCAAAAGAAAATAACAAATCTGCTGCAGTTCCTCTATATAAGCAACAAAATTAGAAAGCATTATAGAATTTAACACTATTTTGGGCAGGCCTCACGTGCAGTCAGAATCCATAAATGCTCCACAACTCATTCTGCTCCTTTCCTTGTCTTTGTCTTCTCCCACTAGGTCCACACAAGCGATGCTCTTCCACTCAGATGCGGTCTTTCCCCCTAGCTCTGGTCCAGATAGTGCCCTCTGAACATGTGCACATCACACAGCAAGAGCCTGCAGTTCTTTGGGATCTACCTTCAGGCTCTGGGTGGGATGGGAATTTTACCCAGTGCTCAGGCTCCTGGATAATGCTTGTCTTAGATTATGTCTCTCTCTACATCCAAATGGGGTTCTAAGAATCTGTTCCATCTGAGCTTTAGGCACCAATAACTAAGTGGAAAAAGTCACAATGAGGAACAGCAGCAGGACTTGGAATCTTCTAAACATCTGGCATGTATCAGAAAATGAGCAAAGATACATTGGTTAAAATGTCATAATTTCATATTCTTGAGAGCTTGTTTGGAGGTTCTATCAGGGGATTTCAGCTACTTCTATACCCTTGACCAAAGAACAGTCCTCCTGTATTGGTCATGGTCGTCCTCCTCCATTGAGCTGCAGCTTTGTTGGGGGGACACACATGGAGTGGTGAGGGAGGAAGGGGACACACGCCTAGCCAGCCAGATCAGCCAAATCAACCCTGGTTATCAATGGGGTGACAGATGTCGCAGCCAGATCACCCTCACAACTGCAAATTCATATTCTTAATGAATTAAAAGCAGGTATGGAAGGTGTCTTCTAAGATTGGGCAAAAATTAAGTGACAAAAGCAAAAAGAATGAGAGAGAGAGGTCTTTTAGGGGACATTAATGAATGGGAAAGTAAAGGAATAATACCTTCAAATCATGTAGAGAAAAAGGTAACCTCACACTATTGAGCTGCTTTTAAAAATTTTTTAATGATTTTATTAGCATATAATAGTTGTGCAGGGGGATACATTGTGACATTTACATATGTGCTTACAATGTCTTAGTTGGATTTACCTCCTCCATCATTTTCCCTCTCCCCCCCTTCTTAGACCAATTTCAATTTTCACATATGGATACAAAACACATCCACCATATACTCCCTCATTCCCCCTTTCCTTGTGCCTCCTTCCCTCTTATTAGTACCCACCCCCAG